CCTGTATCAGCCCAACTGGAACACATTTTAGCACTGTTTATTACTTCTTCCATGTCGTGTTGTTCCTTTTTCAGTGCATCATAAGTTGAACCAATTTACCATTCGTTGTGCTTTCGGTCTGTTCTCACAGAAATCACAAACTAGTCAGACTCGGAGCCAATTTCATTCGTTGAAAATAGTCAGAAAACTGTTTGTTGGCGCTTTGCACCAATCAAAAACGCTCTGACTGGTTTGTGACTTCTGTCAGAACAGACCTTATTGAAGCCGCTGTTTGAAGGTATCTTGTTGAATGGGGTGTGACCCAAAAAAAAACGACTTAAGCTACTTAAATCAAGAAAAAAATTCTAAGATCTCTCGTGAAAACCGCAGTCCTATATTCAAAATAGTTTCCGAGAAAACGCCTTGTGAAGATAAATTACGCAGGAATTTGTGATGTCACAACCGCCGAAATCGCTGTCTTCTGTTCGTTTGGTCGTCAGTGAACCGTACCCTATACTTTGAGTGGTTGCAATTTGCTCTAAGAGATAATTGTCTTTTGCTTTGGAAGATTTTTACACGTGTTAATACTGTCCCCGATAATCCAGCGTGACGTCACAAAAGCGTAGTTGTAACTTTAAACGGCCCTAACTCGAAAACGAACCATCGCAGCAACATGCGGTTTAAATATTTATTCTTAGATTTTTTTTGCACTAAAACTTTCATTTTTGGGTCACACCCCCTTTAAAGGTTCTGTTATTTCAAAGATCGGCCCACCGGGAATTTCCCGGTATCCCGTTGGGTTCATCCAACCCTGCTTTTAAGGTTAGGCCAGTAATACTTTTTCCGGATTTGGGGTTCAGTTTCATTAATTCCTCGATGAATTGTTTTTCCTTGGTGGCACTGGATAATTTCGCTTTGTCTTTCTTTGCTATTGACGTCCTCTAGAAGAAGATTGCATTTAATCAAGTCAAATGCAGAGTTTTTGAAGGTTTCTTTGAGGAGGTTGCATAGAAGAACATAAAGATATTCGTCTTTAAAGAATATTGCATACTTCTTTCTGGGGTCTATGTTCTCTTTGAAAAGCTTTATAAAGCTTCTTTCTAAGTTAGTCTTGCTTATTTGGACATGTAGCCTGGATTTGTTAGGAAAGGCTATTTCTGTTATTGGTTTTGCTGGATTGTAGTTAACAGACTTGAGCACAATTTGGTTATTGTAGTGCTAATTGGAATGCCAAGTATAGGTTCCTCTTGAGCCGTGTGTCTGGTTTCGTTGTCTTCTTCCGGGTCGGCTTGTTCAGGTTCTGGATTGTTAAGAATTTCACTGATGACTTCTTGTATTTTTTCCTGTGGAGCGGGCTTCTCTAGAAGTTCATCTATGTCGAAGATTGAGCCTGCATTGTTGTACAATGATGCGTTGTCTTCGTTTAGAACTTTTTGTGGTAGTTGGGCTATTTCTTTGGTATGGATTTCAACTCTGGACAGAGCATCTGCATTGGTGTTTGTTTTTCCTTTTTTATAGACGATCTCATAATCAAACTCTTCAAACGCCATCTAATTATTTTGGAGTTACTGTTTTTCATGGAGGGGACGGTGATCTGAAAGTATCTTAAACTTTCTCCCAAATAAGTAGGGTCTGAAGTACTTGGTGGCCCAGATTATCGCTAACATTTCCTTTTCAATAGTGGAATATTTTAATTCGGTTTCATTGAGTGTTCTAGAGGTGTATGCGATGGGCTTGTCGCTACCGATTGGTCCCTGGGATAGTATAGCTCCAATTGCATAGTTGCTAGCATCCGTAGTAAGATTGAAAGTCTTGCTGAAGTCTGGATATTGCAGAAGAGGTTGATTTGTCAGTAGATTTTTGCAAGTTCTAACGCAGTTCAAAAATCAAGGTGTAAGTTCTATTTTAGCGTCTTTCTTGAGGCAGGAAGTGAGAGGCTTAGTAATTTTAGCGAAGTCCTTAATGAATTTCCTGTAATATCCAAGGAGGCCTAAAAATCCTCGAATTTCCTTTGTGGTTTGCGGTATTGGATAATCAATTATGGCTTTAATTTTTGCTGGATTTGGTGGAGTGACAATATGTCCAAGGAAAGCTACTTCCTTTTTCAGGAACTCGCATTTGTCCATTTGGATTTTGAATCCACTTTCTCTGAGTCGTTGGAAGATTTTTGAAAGATAAACCAGATGTTCTTGAAGTGAAGTGCTGAACACGATGATATCGTCCATGTACACTAAGCAGTTTTCTTCCTGAAGGCCTTTTAAAACGTTATCCATCACCCTCTGGAACGTCGCTGGAGCGTTTTCTAAACCAAACGGCATTCGGACATACTCGTAATGGCCATTCTCGACATTGAAAGCAGTTTTGCATATATCTTCCTTGGCCATTTCGATTTGATGGAATCCGCTTGCTAGATCCAAGGTCGTGAAGTATTGGCATCTATCAAGTTTATCCAGAATGTCTGTGATGTTCGGAATTGGGTATTTATCGTCGATGGTTTTTTCGTTTACTTTCCTATAGTCCACTACTATACGCGATTTTATTTTTCCAGAGGCATCTGGTTTTTTTTGGAACTATCCATATCGGGGAAGACCAAGGTGATTGACTTGGCCTGATAATTCCTTGATCCAACATTGAAGATATTTGTGTTTTCACTTCCTCCTTATGGATATGTGGATATCTGTATGATTTGGTGTATACTAGAATCTCATCTTTTGTTTTAATATGGTGTTTGACCTGGTTCGTAAAGGTCAGGGACATGTCTGGATAATGAAAAATGTCTGAATACTTCCTACATAAATTTTGTATTGCTTGCTCTTCCTCCGAATTTAGATGATCAGTCCTGATTTCGGGAATCTTGCCATGCGGAGTAGGAGATTCTTGAGAAATTATATCAGTGGTGTAGATGTGAAACTGGTCGAGGTCCAACTGAGCGCTAGTGACTGGACTTGTCAGAGCTATCTGAAGTTCTTCGTCAGTCGTGTTGACAATTTCAGTCCAAGCGAGTTGATTACAAGCAGATGTGAGTGTTTCGTTAATTTTTGCGCCCTGGAGTTCTTGTTTTGGTAGAAGAATTGTACCCTGGGTTTCTTTTACTGGGACTCGTACTCTGGAAACGGTGTTGGGTGCCAACAGGATGGAATAGAATTGGGTTTTGATCGTTTCCTAGTATTCAATTGGAAGAATAGCGTTTTCAGTGATAAGAAGCAAAGCTGGCAGGTCCAATTTGGCTTGCAGTAGCTTCAGGTTATCCGAGTCCAATTGGTGGAATTTGAATAGGTAAAAATTTGCCTTTTGATTTGAGTTGAACTCTGGAAACATGGGAATGTGAGCGCAATAGTCCTGAGAGTGGTTTTGGAAAATTGATGTAACGATGAATGGCTCGTGGTGGATACAATTTCTGAAATATTTGAAGGCTATGTCGGGATTAATAAATGATTTCGTAGCGCCGGTATCTATAAGGAGCTTTAAAGGTGGATTGGCGATAGATATGTATGGTAGTTCCTTCCTGTTGGTATAATTATGTAGTTCTATTATGGTTCTGTTTCTGGATCGGCCACTTCTGGAAAATTTCCTCGTTCAGTGTATTGGTGTTCTTCATATGATCGCTGCTGGTAGTCTTCTTGTTGTTGTTCTACATCATAGTAATCATTCTGTGTTTCTGGATTGGTGTATCCATAAAGATAGTTATCCTGGGCTTCGTCGTGTTGCTCAATATTGAACAATTCTTCGACAGTAAACTTTGGAGCAGATTGTTGTGGAGGTTTCGCGGTCCCGTTTTTTTTGGCGAGCAGTTTAGTTGAATAATCACGTATCCAGTCTCTGTCCTAAGAGTTCAAACTGCAATTTTCAATTTAGAAACTGACAATATGTGGGTCTCGAATTTTATTGAAAAAATTGCGGTGAGAACACTCTACGACTGTATTGTTTACTGCATAATGGTCTAAAGGGCTGAACAACGCGTATGTCGAGGATACCGCACAGCGTGTGTATGTTCTAGCTATTGATAAATTATTTAAATTCCACTTTGTGAAGCCCCCCCGGTGTTGCCAAGCTTCGGGCTAAACAACGCGCTTGTAATATGCGGGCTCCACTACGGAGTTTATTACTCATCTGTGTAAAGGTGCAGCGCCCTCTTTAGCAGAAGTTTTGAACTAAGTGCTGTATGTTGGATGGGTTAGCGTGTTCTTGTGAAGCCCATACAAAAACTTTGGAAACGCCTGAACGGGTCTTGTGTAGCCCGTTAAACCCGATATACACTGTGATACGTTGTGTAGCCCGGAGTCGGGACACACAACGTTATTACGGGCCTCACAACAACCGCTCAATTTCTTCTACGGGCTTCGCAATGACCGTTTACATGTCTATATATATATATAATATAAGTAAGTATGTATGTATGTATAATTAATATGAGTCATAATAATTGTGGGCTGTGTCCTTTGGCATTTCATAATTCTTGTGATATTGTTGGTAAGGGATACTTTTAAAATTTTTCTAGGGTTAGTATATCTAATAATTTAAATAAATTATTTTAAAGTACTTTGTTAAGTTAACTAGAAAGTAATATTAAGTGCTGCCATATACCTCAAATTTTAAATAAATGAAGCAAATTGGTGTACATACAGTATTTTAAATACCATCGTACACCAAAAACTTTTAGCAGTAATGAGATATGTACTTATAACATATTATAGAATAATTATTTAACAACAAATTGAAAATTGTAAATTATTAAGTATTTATGCTGCTAATAAATAAATAAAATAATTAAGGTTCTTATCCGTGACAACATTCGGAAAAATTCTATTCAAATGGTTCATCAATTTTTAGTAGAGTTAATAAATAGTCTGGGATGCAAATAATGAATTCTGGTCAATGATTGAATAGTTTCAGATGGGCTATTTTTTAGAAATTTTATATACAATCTAGTGGCGCCCCCCTTAAACATGCACCCCAAGTTAATAATTTCTGAGACAAATATAATAATAACTGTTAAAAAATACATTAACAAAACTCATTACCTTTTTCCACACTGTCATGGATCCAGTCAGGAGTGACACACGAAATCCGCTGCGAACGGCGTGCCGCTTTATATTTCTCACTGCAGGTGCTCGCTGTTCCATAACAAACCAAAACATCAGTTTTAGATATGACTAAAGTGCCTGTTAAATTGCCTCCATTATTCTTTATTATTTCCATTAGTTGTGCTATTTCTTTCGAACTAGACAAACCTGTAGCACATATCGTTAAATTATTGAAAGCTGGACATTTATATTTATCCAAAATTGTTTTATCAATATCATGGCAATTGATGTGAGTGTTTTCGAACATGTAGTCAATCCAACTTGGTAGCATCAATAGAACCCCTTTTTCAGCTGCCAATGCGTATTTTTCCGAATTAGTACTGTCGCATATTAAATGTGTCGTAGAATCTCGTAGATCTCCGCAATAAAGACCTCCCATAAGTTGCACTTTATTTTTTATAATTTCTTTACGACTTTTTTGCATTTGGGTGCAAGTAACTTCGCACTCGATCATAGAAACAGTTAAAATTGGCCACGGAAAGTTCGGAATCGATATGGTTTGATTTAAGCAAACATTTAGGGCTAATGGGCCTATGATTGCGCATTGGCTTTCAGAGTAAATGCTGAAATCTTTGCCTTCGAATTCTTCAAATATCAAGTAGTCTTTTTTTGATAAGTCGCGATTGATCAAGTTGCTTTCTTTGTCCCAAATTGTGTCTGGGACTAATTCTTTACATGATTTGTAGGCTCGTTTCATAACATCGGAGGCTTCGGATTCATCTTGAATATTGTTTGGAAGTACGAAAGTTACTTTTATGTCGGTCATTTTTTCAGTGTTGACTTATCAGTACCTGAAAATTAAATATGTTAGTAATATTGAACAATATGTATTATAATAGGGATATAAGGGCATTCATACATTCCATAGGTACCAATGAAAGGCATAATACCATGTAATTTTTGTATCTAAAATGATCATGATCATTTTGTTATCGATTTTGTTCGACTGTCAGTCAATAATGTGATAATTGTTACCTATCAAACTCCATACATATTAGACTTCTGGTGTATTTGCACCCATTTTTACCCATTGACTAACATGATGTTATTGATGAGCAAGAAATCGCGTAACTGTGCCCTAATTTAACCGCCCCTGTATCTCTTATGGTTACCGAGATCTCAATACTAATTCGCGAATTTGTAACATCCTGTATAATCAATAATTAACAATATTGCGAATGATTAAAGATTTGTGTTTTGTTAAATTTTTAAAGATTTTCAGGGATTTTAAATATATCTTACAAATTTTTCTGGACTTGTACACAGAATTTGACCAATTAAACGCTCCAAGGTTTAGTTAATTCTATATGAACACATATTTTAAGTCTTAATTGATTTTGTAGGATTTTGGGAATTTTCAAAATCTTTACACGATTTTACAGGAGTTCAGAAGATTATGGATTTTTAAAATTTTAGATGATTCTGTAGCATTTTAGGGGTTTTTGAAAGTTTATAGAGATTCTAAATTCAAATGACAAATTTGAAAAGAAAAACGGAAATTCCTAATTATTTCACTATAGGATTTCATAATACTTTTCCGAATTTCATCTTATGATTCTATGGAATTCCACCATAAAATTCAATGGAATTCTTGCACAAAAATTCCTCGGAATTACGCTACTTATGAGATTTCATAAAATTCTTTGACATTCTATTAAAATTTCAAGTTATTCCATGGGAATTCTGCGAAAATTTTTGTTAATTCCATAGAAATTCCTTAGAATTTCACTAGAAGATTTTATGGAATTCCTCGAAATTTCATTTAAATGACAAATTTGAATCGAAAAACAGAAAGTCTAAGAAATTTTACCTAAGATTTTATATTACTTCTCCGAATTTCACCATAAGATTTCATGGAATTCCAGCACAAAATTCAATGGAATTCTTGTACAAAAATTCCTCGGAGTAAGTAAATTAAAAGTGAAATTTCTCGGAATTCCACTAAAATTTTATGTAATTCGACCAAAATTACTTAGAATTTCACTAAAATTTAATTCAATTCTTCGGAATTCCGTCGGAATTTCTTTTTTTCCACTGAAATTCCACGTTATTAGTCAAATATTTTTCGAAATTCTGGATTGGATTCCGCTCCGACGTCGTCAGTGCCGTCGCGACGCTTCAGTAAATCGTACGATCTGGGTGAGTGGGACTACTTTTTATACAGTGATGTACACGGACTGAATGGGGTTTCGGCCCTATTCTGTCTGTGACGAACAATGGGGGTTACGTGCTGGGCCGTTTACAGGGTGGCACCCGTTGTCCTTATATCAATGTATATTGAGTATTCCTCACTTCACACAGATGGTTTCTTGTTTCTTTCGTGCACGTGCATGATGCTCTTGCTATACAGGGGGATACACGGATTGAATGGGGTTACGAGCTGGACCGTTTACAGGGTGTATCTTTGTATACTAAGATACGTCATGCACCCCGCACCGATCGCCAAAAAGGCCAAATCACCAGCACTGACGGCTGAAGGAGCTGGATTCCTTGAGAGTGGACCTGCAGAGCTTTTCACCGCCGCGTACCGTTACCGTCCCGCGTAACCGTTCCGTATAAGCTTTCCCGTCTACCGCCGCATAACCTAAAAGGCACGCTAGTATTCGTTTACACACTCTCTCTCTCTTTTCGTTATTCCGTCAGTTCATTAATTATTCTTTAAATCATTTTCCATTACGTATTGCACCTATTATTGTTTTTGACGTAATAAACTTAATTTGTTAGTTACCTTTCTGTGTTTTTCATTTTGGGGAAAATGCGCTACAAATTTGGCGCCCGAGCAGGGATCGCCGTTTTGACCGCTTTGACCGTTCTGCCATGATTTCAGCTTATGACCGAGGTAATTACGTAATCATTAGTCCCCGTTTCCCCCGAGAGGCCGTTTTTTTTGGCGACACCCGTAGGTCTGACCGTTACCGTACCGTTTTTGATGTGAATGCCAGACCGCATAGCGCCGGAATGAACCGCTCCTATTGGACTTTGAACCGTTCCGTGCATGTCTTACCATCCGCCCCATGAGTTTAGGGTCTCAACCAATGCCGTCTGACCGTGGAAAAGAGTTCCTGTAAAACCGTACCGCATTGGACCGGAGGCCTCCGTTTTTTTTGGAGGTATTGGTAAGCGCATGCGCATAACAAAATTTGAGCTACCGCTCATTTTCTCGTAACCCGAGGTCGCTGATTTCATTTTTCCGTCTTAAAACTTTCCCCATTGATGTGATTTCACAGAAACCGGCTTCTCTGTTGCCATTTTCACGGCAATTTTCATTGCACCGTGTGAATTGTGTCCTACCCAACTTTCCGACTAAATCAAGGTTGCCGAATCTCATTCTACTACTAGAATAATAGTATCTTGTGCCGATTACCAGGTTGCCACATTTCATAATATTTCTGAAGATTTACCGTACTTACCGAATAGTAAACCGTTAGAGAGGAGTGTGCGCACTAGCCATCGTCCTACCACCAACTTTTGGTGGTAAATGTCTCCCCACTGCCTTGAAAGAATATAAATTGAGATTATCACGCAGAATAAAAGAGAACCGACCGAGACCTCAGGGGAGCAACATCTAGAAGAGAACCGACCGAGCCTTCGAAGAAGCAACATCTACTAAACCGCTCCGAGAGAACCGACCAAACCCGCAAGGGATTAACATCTAAGAAACCGTTCCGAGAGAGATATACCGCTTTACCGAACCGAATAAAACTCAAGAGAGTTGTATAACCGAACCGTATACCTGATCCTTCCGAATCATTCTAGTTCCGACCGTCGACCTAATATTGTGGTAGATAGAACTGACGATGTCTTTGGAACTACCCGATGGAAGCTAACTATTTTATAGAGTGTGAGCAAAAAAAAAGTAAGAAAATGCAAAGGGTGAAAATTGAGAAATGTCGAAAATGCAAAGTGTCGAAAATATGAAAAGTTCAAAATACAAAAGATCTTTTCTCTCTTCTTGTTGAAAAATAAATGTCACCTGAACTGTATTTCTGTCGCACAGAGAATCCAACTTCAGTGACTAATAATATTTATTCAAAATTTAATAATACATACATGTGCTCTATTTTTTATACGCGCTCTTTTTTCGCTATTTGATCAGCTTCAGAAACAGAGATTGGGTCGCATTTCCAGCATGGGTCAGTTTGGGTTAATTTGGATTAGGTACCTACTTTTCAGGTCTTGCTTGAAAAAAAGAAATAAAAAGGAACAGCGCCTAGTGCGGTTTTTCAACCAAAATTAACCCAAACCAACCAAAACTAACTCAAATCTACCAAAAAAGTTCTGGGGACTTTGAATAGACACAAATGATAAATTTTTATCATTGGCTATCGCATTTCGCATTAAAACGTACCAACTGCTAATAATAACTGCCACTGTCCAACTGAATTTATTTAGAGAATATTTTCCCGAACGCCAGGCAGGCTCTAAACTGCCAACGTTAATCCACTTCAATCATAATTTGCCTACGCTGTGCTCGAACGAACACGAATGTAGCCGAAGGTCCTATTACGTTGGCAGAAAATGAATATGCGGCCGGGAAAGTGATTCTCGTACTACTGAATAATTGGAACAAAAAGACAAACATTTAACAGATATTTCACTGATCGCAGAAAAAATAGTATGTGTATTTCGGTGGAAAAGCACATTCTCGGCCTTAGGTTCCCAGCTCACACCGTCGGCCGAGAATGTGTCACTTTTCCACCTAAATACACAATATACTATTTAATAGCTAGGAATTTCTGGGAATATTAATGAAACTTCATATCTTGAAAATTCAACGAAATGTCATTACATGGAAATTCATGAAATACATATGACCAAAGTTTTTAGCCTAATATTCCTCGGCATTCCACTTGTGGAATTTTCTGGAATTTTACTAAAACTCAGTAAGAACTGAAATTTCATGTTGGGAATTTCGGGGGAATTGTTTAGAATTTCTCCATGCAATTCATTTAGGATTTCGTGTACCTAATTCGATCGGAATTTCACTGAAATTTCAAGTAATAATGTAAACTAAAAATTATTGTGAATTCTATGGAAACTCCGCAAAAATTTCGCATGTAATTCCTTTTTCAGAATACATAATTCTACTGAAATTCCTCGAAATTCCAATAAATTATGGAATAATGAGAGACTTTTGTGAGATTTTGTTAAATTCGAGGTTAAATTTTTAAGGATTTCAAAGATTTTTAGGGATTTTGAGTGGATCTTATGAAATTTTGACCAACTGGTACATGGATTTTGACCAGTTAACCACTCGTTAATTACCATACAACTTATAAACAGTATTCTGTATTCCATCTACAACCATGCGGTAAAAAAATATTTTATCCTACGACTGCCTAGAAAGCTATTAAAAACGCACTACTAACTTACCTAAAAAATCGATTATTTCGCACAGCGTGCGAAAAGTACTTTTCACACGCTAAAATGAAAATGACACTTTCATTGAATTTTTGTTCTACAAACAACTCTGAGTGCATTCAGCGTACATACCAAAATTGTTCGTTGATTATAATTTAAAATAAATAAATAAATTCCAATGTGAATATAGTTAGTTATTTCGCAGTCGTAGAAAAAGTATAGTGTGTAACGCGTGTGAATCGCACTTTTTACACTCGTGTTAAAAGTGCTATTTTCAACACTTGTTGCAAAATATACTATTTCCTATGAGCTTGCGCAAAGTAGTACTTTTCCGTACGCATTTCCGTTCTCAAAGTTACACTTTTCCGCACTCAATGCGGAAAAAGCCTGTATAAGTAAAAATAACTGTCAATTGTGTTCTCCAAAATTTTTGTTGTTATCTACCTGGATATGAAGTTTGTAGGAAAAATCTTGTTCTTAACATGTGCGCATAGTGTCTTTTCCGCACGCAAACACTTATCCAAACTCTGAAAGTAAGTACCACTTTGCGCACTTGTTAGGAAAATAACTATAAAGTTCAAAAAATTATAGAAAAAAAAAATTGCTTTTCTGGCTGTCTGTCACCTTTGTCAGTGGACAAGTAGAATTTAGGTGATAGATAGATAGGGTAAGTAATTGAAGAATAATTGGGTATATTATTTCATCTACGGCCTGCACAATAATAAGTGACTAATATGTCACTAATTTTCACTCATTTGCGTTATGTAATGAGCCCTATTACCGCACTAGTGCAGTAATAAATCATAATGCGTTCATTATCGCAATAGTGTGGTAGAGGTCATTATTTTTAAAATAAACTACGCCTCAATCGAACTCACTTTTTGAAAGACTATGACTCAAAATCTTTCTTTCTTTATTAAATTCTTTATTAAATACCTACCTGGCCGATTTTGTGCAAATTTTCAGGAGTGAAATAATGCTCTAATTGCTATTTAATTTCCAGTTCTTAACAGATTTCCGGCAACCTGCTAAAAGATACAGGGTGAAACATAAGTTGGCGATTTTTGTGCGAAAGTTTCGGTTCACCCCATTTTGCTGGATGGAGGGTTGAGTCGATTTTTGGTATGCAGTTTAGAAGAGTACCTTAGTACCTTAGTGTGCAAATATTGTAAGAAACATGTTATTAATCATGTGAAGTGCTGTAAATGTGATGAATTCTTTCATCCTAGTTGCCTAGTACAATCGGCGAAGTTGAAAAATACCCAGTGTGTTCACGAAACCCAACAATCAGAGCCACCAACGAGCGAGGCTGGAGTTGAGGTTAAGGCTGATATAAACAACCCATATGTAGTGGAAAACAATCTCCTACTTCGAATTATTAAAGAAATGGAAGAAAAATATGATATTTTGATGGAAAACTGCAACCTACTACAAGAAAAAGTCAGTGTTCTCAAGGAAAAAGTGAATGGTTTTGAAGAGAAGGAAAAACAACAAGGTGTGGCAACATCGGTACCCGGTAAGGATGCTTTTGTTGACATATCGAATGCGACCAGGGCCAACGAGTGCAGCAACATAAATCCGGAGTACTCTATAGTCAGAAGGTACGAAATCCGAATGAAACCAACAAAAATGTCATTGTCAAACGTCAGTATCAGGACTTACAAAACCATACAAAACATTCCAGCCTGCTAAGATTCCAGCTGATGCTGTGAAGTCTGCCATTGCTGAAGCAATAGGATAATCATAATGAAGTAATCAAGGGTGATGATAAAGACTGGCAACAGGTGAAGGCAAGACCCAGACGCCGTTTTATACGGGGTGGCAACTCCTACACCGATGAAGTGCAAGCCATACCACACCGGCTAAACTGGAAAATATGCTAAAAGAAGCTTTTTCCGAAGTTAAATGCGAGAAACATGAATCGAAAAGGCCTGAACTATACTCCACGATGAAAGTCACAATCAAACAGAGCAATTTTGGAAAGGCATGGAGGAGAGAAATTTGGCCTGAAGGTGCCATTGTCTCTCGTTTTTTTGTGCAAAAAAGGATATCATCATCAGAAACCCAAAGGTAGATGAATCCTATTTCAAAAAATGTAATGAAACAAATAAAAAAAGCTTTAATTTACTTTACCAAAATGTCAGGGGACTACGCACAAAGACTTCAATTGTATATGGGAGCATACTTGAGGAGAACTGGGATGTTGTCTGTATGAGCGAAACATGGTTGAATGGCTCGTTTCACGATAATGAAATCTGTGATAATAGATATGTGATATTTAGAAATGATAAAGATTATCTCCACTGTGATGTGAGTCGGGGTGGAGGAGTCATGTGTTGTGTGAAGGCAAAATATAGACCGGAGCTAGTAGCTAGGAGTGACTCTATAGATTTTCAATGGATTTGTGTCAAAATCAATGTAAATAATACTCAGATTTTAATATGTTGTATCTATGTCAGTTGTAATTGTAGTTTTAATGTTTATGAAAGTTTTATTGATTCACTGTACAGTATTGACATGCTTGGTACTAAGAATATAATGTTGTTAGGAGATTTTAATGTTTCAGATATTTGTGGAAAATCCTATGATCTAGCTAGAGGTTCACCAAAGGCTCAACTCATTAACCACTTACTAAGTGAATATGATTTATATTCCCTGAATAATAATAAAAATCATCTAGGCAACACACTGGATCTAGTTCTGACAAATGTAACAGAGGCAAATGTTGAGGAGGATTCTGAGAATGCAGTGGTAAGCATTGACAACTATCATCCAGTTCTAAACATAACTTTCAAATTAAAGACAAGAAATGATCGGGTTTCTAATGATGTCTTTGATAGCTCAATTACTTATGATTTTGCTCGTGCTGACTATCCTTTGCTTCGCCAACTGCTAAGTGAGCAGGATTTGGACTGAACTGGCAAATGGTTCCGATGTCAATCTGTGTGTACGTATTTTTTTTTGAGATTTTATACAAAATATTTGAGCAGTGCGTTCCGAAGAAGAAAATAGGTAATTTCAACAAAAATTTTCCAAGATGGTTCACAAAACAACTTATACATAAATTAAATCAAAAGAAACACTTCGCCAAAATGTCAAAAAAACAATCTAAAATATAGAGAAGAATATTGTAAGCTAAGATTAGAAACAAAAAAGCTTATTAAAGCCGTTCGTTCTCGATTTATAAGAAATACTGAACAAAATATTACTCATAATGCTAATATGTTCTGGAAATTTATCAAGGAAAAGAGGCAAAATAGTAATATTAGTTATACCTATACATATCAAGGTACAGATTTTACTAATGAAAATTCTATTGCTAATGCGTTTGCTCAATTTTTTCAAGATATGTACTCAGACAGTGGCTTGCCGCCTAATGGTAATACTGATCGCCCAGTGGACTATGGTTTGGATGCTTTCTCGCTTGGCACTGTTACTGTTGATGATGTTTCAGAGGCGGTGAGAAGTCTTAAACCCAGGGGCGCGTTCACAGTGGTTCACCCTGGGTAAAACTTAACCAAGTTAAATATTTCACTGGTTGAAAAGGATGAGCTTGGGATGACAAATCCGTGAACGACTAACGCCTGCGCCATAACGAGGTAGGATTTGATTTTTTTTCCTTTTGTTTACATACGTTGTGTTTCGAATGTTTGGAGATGGATCTGGGAATAATATTATTTAAAAGTACTATTGAAACTTCTTCGGATTCGTCTGCTACAGAGGAACAAGTCAGCTATGCTGTAGCAGAAGCTGCATGTGCTAGCGCTAGCAGTTTAAGTTTCAAGCCTGAAGGAAGGCATATTGGAAGACAGGATAATTGTATGTATGGCAATAATACGCAATTATAGCGATAAGGAGTTCCAGGAAAATCTTCCAGAGATACTTTCAACGGGCTTCTTGAAAAACTTGAAAACCAGTTGAAGTCAGCAATGTATGGCCCAGAAAGATTACCAACAGTATTGCTCATGGATGGAATCGAAATAAATCACCTATCGCCGGAAGAAAATTATAAGTATTTAGGGTTCCAGCAAGCATTAAGCATCAAAGGAAACCTGATGAAAGAAAAAATTAGATCGGAATTCAGAAGGAGACTTCAACTGGTACTGAAAACCGAACTCAATGCAAAAAATACTTTTACTGCAATTAATACCTGGGCAATGCCAGTGGTAGAGTTCACATTTGGGGTTCTAAAGTGGACTGACACTGACCTTCAAGAAATTGATAGGTTAGTACGCACAACACTTACCTCATACATAAGTCATCATCCGAAATCTTCTTCTGGATTCTATATCACTAGGCAAAATGGCGGTCGTGGTCTCTTCTCTCTGAAGGCGCGCCAACTGAAACAAAAAGAAAAATTGCTGAAATACTTCAAGAACTCCAACTTACCTATCCATGATGCAATAGTACGATCAGACAAAAACTTCTCTCCCCTGAATATGGCCAATGATATGGATTTTCCTCGTTCTAACCATGAGGAAGAAATGGTGCAGGAATGGCTGAGCAAAGAAATCCATGGCCGGTTCGCAGTGATGCTTTCGACAAGGAATGTCTTGCATCTACTTGCGTCAGGGTTAGCTGAATCGGGAAACTGAGGGTGCGATATCCGCGGTGCAGGACCAGGCTGTGGCTACAAGGTACTACATCCGAAATGTACTGAACCAGAATATACCAAGCGACTTGTGCAGGGTTTGCAGTCAAAAACCTGAAACCATCCAGCATATTACAAGCGCATGTAGCGTAATGGCTCCAAAAGAATACTTGAATAGGCATAACGATATGGCGAAAATCGTACATAGTAACATCTGCTACAAAAATAATTTAATTAACAATATCTTATCCTATTACAAGTACAATCCGAACCCAGTGATTGAAAATGACTCCGTTAAAGTTTACTAGGATACAATGATCGTGACAGATAGCCAGATACAGCACAACAAGCCCGACATCTTGTTTATCAATAAAAAGGAAAAATGGGCCTTCATCGTCGACTTCGCTGTGCCATCAGAAAACAACATAAAGAAAGCATACGCTGAAAAAATAACGAAATATCAGGACCTATCACACCAGCTAAAGAGAATATATTCACTCGAAAAAATCGAAGTCTTGCCACTGATTATCTCGACGACAGGCCTTGTTGAAAAGCGACTAGTGAAAAATCTTGAAAAACTTCGCCTCAGCCGAGATCTGGTAGGACTTTTGCAAAAGCCCGTGATATTAGGAACATGTCATCTTGTCCGCCGTTATGTGTTGCACGAAGGGTAACCTTGACTTAGGTCCGGTTACCCTTTGAACCTATCCCCGTAAAAGGTGAAAAAAATAAAATAATAATAATAATAATAATAATAATAATTACTTTGAAATCCTTGAAAGAATAGCAAAATAAATATTTGTTCATATTTTTACTCGTACTTTTATTTCTGGGTTAATAATCTAATGCCCAAAATAAATAAATATGTTCAATAGATAATATGTCAGTGTAACTCAAAATCTTTCTCAGTACTCGCAATCGCCTACAATTCTCCGAAATCATTAACAATCGTCTGCAATCATTAACAATCATATGCAGTCACAGTGCAATCCTCTTAAATCTAACAATCGCCTCACAATCCCAGATTGTAGTCGCAATCGTAGGAAAATCGTAGGGATTGTCGCAATACTGTCACAAAATTTAAGAAGATGTTACCCCCTCGCTGGACAGTTATTCCATCAGTGTTACTTTCTTTGTTTTCCATTCTTTTGAAAATTCTCCTCAACTTTAACATTTCTATTTTCTGAAATTTTTCCATATGATGCTCAGTTTCTATTTGTTGTACAGTGTCTTCTAAGGATTTTGTTGGCATTATATTTTCTGAAATTTGTCGGATGCTATCCAGGAAGAACTCTTTAAATTTTTCACAAATCTCATTTCCTGATACTATTTTATTATCAAATTTTATTACATTTTGTTTCATTTTCATGTTCCTTTGTACTGACTATTTTTTTTAATGTCTTCCACATTTCCTTAGAGTTGCCTTTCAGACTGTCTATCTTCTCATTAAAATAGTTAGTTTTCACATTTCTTATAAGAGTTACAACTCTGTTTCTTTGTACTTTGAAGTTCTTCCAGTCTTCTTCAATATGAATAATTGCTGCTCGTTGGTATAATTGATTTCTTTTCTTAATCTGTTCTGCAATTTCCTGTTTCCACCATAATTTGCTACCACAGTTCACTTTTATAGCCCTTCCTTCTATTGGAGCAAATTCATCAAGTGCAGAAATTAAATTGTCAACCAAAATATCAGCCATGGTGTTAGTATTTGAGGAGTTATATTGTGTCCAGGACATATTCATTAATCTTAATTGAAAAGCTATTATATCCATATTTTTGTAATTTCTATATTTTTTAACTTTAGATTCTATATTATGTTGGTCATCAAGATACACCTCAATAATAGAGTGGTCAGTTATTTTTGGCGTATCAAGTATTTTATGTTCTAATTCTTTGTTATTGGTAAGTATGAGATCAATTTTTGTAGCAGACTGCTTTGTTATGCGGGTGCACGACTCAATCACTTTGGTACAAACCATATTTGTTAATTAATTCATTCAATTTTCCAGCATAAAAGCTTTTTTTTGTCAGATCAATATTGAAGTCACCTATCACTATGAATGTTTTATCCAGACTGATATCATCAAAAAAATCATTAAGGGTACTATACAACATATAGTTGTAATCGATCATGTTACTTATTGCTATAAAGTATTGAATGTTTCCTAGTTTCCTTTTCATTTGAATTAAGAAAAGCATCCGGAAACTTTTATCAGAACAACCTATATATTTTTGTATGACCCTGTATAATATGTTCTAAGTGTGTTTTCACATGCGCCATTCTTGTAGTGTTTGTTTCGAAAAGAAATAATGACGTTAATAGCTATATTTTACATAAAATCGTATTCGGCAGCGATATTCAAAAAATCTCAAAAACGTCCCGAGGTGTTAAGGTACTCTTCTAAACTGCGTACCAAAAATCTACTACTCAACCCTCCCTCTGATAACAATATCAATTTTGGCGAGTAGCAAAATCAAGGTTACAACTGAGAGAGGTTGTCTGGTAAAAAATACATTTCAACAGTTACGCTACGTCATCAACGGTACTGTACAACCTGCTGTTCCAAGACATTTTAAATAAAATTCACAACTAAATACGAAGTAGCTTTCAAACGCTACACTACCCTTCTCCTTAAAAAAAAAAAGAGTTATCGCAGATGACTATTTTTTTTAAAAAAAACATTATCTAACAAAGACGATAACCGAAATCTACAAATCAATGAAACCATAGAATTGAAATATGCACTCTGTCAAAACCTAAAAGTTATAAATTTGTTTTATTGTCCTGTATTATTTAATATTTTTGCCTTTAGTCATGATAACTTACGCGTATCACTCGCCTTATAAAAGGAGTCACAATTGATAGGTCATTATCGGGAAAATCTCAAATCGGTAGGGGTCTACTAAAGGTAAAGAAACAGAACATGGTTCTAGACAAAAAACAGATTTGGTAAGTCCATTGACAGGAGAAGCGGAGGAAACATAAAAGTATTACTAATAAGAAAAAAAGTGATGCTCACATAATATCATCACAGATATTTACACTATATGTACACCTTACAATTACAACCCACTGCACCATAACTACTTTCAGATAGTCCCTATGGACTCGTAGGTTACACAATGTGCAGAAAGTTATGCAATTGAAAAAAAACACTTTGTCTGAAGGTAAATGGAGATATATGTATAGGTAAAATAGTAAAAACAGACAAGTGAATTGAACGTCCAAAAAAACTTATCTTAGACATGATTATCCTGAGACACTCCAGGATCAGAATGTTGAGGTAATAAGATAAAAATCTTTAAAGGTAATATTTAAATAAGTCCGCAAATATACGCGACTGCATTGAGGTAAAAAAAATGTTAAGGTATCTATGATTCCAAGAGGTAAAATTTAGATATTTAAGATAAAGGAATCAAACTGAGGTAACCAATCTCCAGAGATAAAGCCAAAAGAGCAAAACTATGTGGCTTCTTATGAGATTGTAGGGATAGACAGAATGAGGTAGAGATAGATAAAATAAGGTAGAGATAGATAATTGAGGTAGAAAAGAGAAAGAAACGGGTGCTAAGGTATACAAAAAAAAAAAAAAATAGAGCATGGCTCTATCTTTCTTTCAGTTTCAGCACTAATTGCTCTTTAACGCACTTTAAAGCTATGCCTACTTCTGCGTTGCGAGAGGGAGTCATGCCCGAGACAGAGGAAATTTGAAAAAGAGAACAAGAATTCAATAGCATAAGAAATATGGTCTTAATAGGAAATGGAGGTAGAAGTTAAACTAATTTGGAGATTTAGGTCTCCTCAGAGGTATCAGATGACGAATCAGCATCTGAATTTACAGAACCAACATTATTGCACGGTAACAAATCTTTTACGTGCCATTTGCCTGCCCTTGAACCATCTATGTTTTTCAGTTCATAGACCACAGTGGAAACTTTCTTTACAACTACACTAAGAATATGCTTAGGGCTTAACTTAGCTGCAAACTTGGTCGCTGCACTAGACTGAACTTTATTAGGACGCCAAACTCTATCTCCAACTTTGAAACTCAAAGGTTTTCGGCGAAGATTATAGGACTTAGAATTCCTTTCATAAGCTGAGTGAAGTTTCTGACGTACCTCAAGAAATAATTTGCGAAAATCAACAAGTTCCCTAGCATAATTGTCTCTATCACCAGGAAGCAATTCTACCTTTTCATCAAGTGGATACTCAGAATAAAAATTTCCAGAAAGAGGAACATGTCGGGCAAAATTCAAATAACAAGGAGGAAAACCAGTAACTTCGTGGACAGAGGTATTAATTGCTTGTCTAATTTCAGCAATGTGAATATCCCAATCTTCATGTTTCCGGATATAACACCGAATGGCAGTACCAATGGTCTTGTTTGTTCTTTCAACAAGATTACATTGCGGTGAATAAACAGGGGTATACCATTGTTTAACGTTGAAATCTTTACAGACCTGCTTGAAAGAATTACTAACAAGATTTGGACCATTATCACAGATGAGATATTCAGGAACTCCATAGTTGAGAAAAACTTCGTCTTTAAGATACTTAATAATTGCTGGTGACTTAGAATTCTTAAGAGGAAAAATTAGAGTGAATTTTGAGTCTGAAATTACTAGAAGCCACTTGTTACCCTTTCTGCTACGAGGAAATGGACCAATGAGATCCAGAGCAATAATCTGAAAAGGTCGTTCCGCTACCTTTTCTTTACCCATGAAACCTGGCTTAGCACGATTTGAATG